ATGGATGGATGGATGGATGGATGGATGGATGGATGGATGGATGGATGACCTTATTATTCCCAGAGATATTTTTCTCATATTATTATTATTATTATTATTGTTATTATTATTATTATTATTAACAAGCAACAGTAACAAGCAATAAGGAAAAAAAACGAGTAAAACCTACAAAAATAAAAGCACTCACAAAAGAAAAATGTACAGATCAACTATGTAAAACATAAAATATTCCCCAAGGGCGTTAAAAGTAATACTGACACTATTACAACCACTACCAATAATAATGTTCTAATAGTAATAAAAGTAAAATAAATAAGACGTGTGGTTCGGTTACAGAAATAACTGCGTGCTTTGAACAGATTTTGTTTTGATGACATGGTCTGTGGCTGATTTAATAAGGGTTTCTTGGGATTATTCCATAATTTGCACATTTTTATGTGAAAACCATGACCAATTAAAATAAAAACAAAAATACCAGGTGGGAAATACTCAAAATGTTTTTTTTTTACTGTATGGGACCCAAATGTTTTTATACTCTCCTTCTGTCAAAACAAGGATGTCAGGATGAAACTTTTTGTTTAAAAGCCAAAAAGTTACATTTGGCTCCTGGTTTTGACTCGACAGCTCACACATTTTTAGTAAGTGCTGCCGAACAGTGCCATCTCCTGGGGGTGAACACAGTCTACAGCGAGTGTTTGGAGCTGAACCCAGGGAAGTACAAAGTACAATACATGTCCAAGAATTAGAATATCGTGAAAAAGTTCAATATTTTTTTGTCATTCACCTCAGAAAGTGAAACTCATATAGATTTATTAGAGTGAAAAAGAACTGGACTGGTGCTCAGTGGTCCAACGTCCTGTTTGCAGATGAAAGTAAATGTTCATGTAATTTGGAAATCAAGGACCCAGAGTCTGCAGGAAGAGTGGAGAGGTCCAGAATCCACGTTGAAGTCCAGAGTGAAGTTTACACAGTCAGTAATGGTTTGGGTCCATGTCCTGCTGGTGTTGGTCCACTGTGTTCTCTGAAGTCCTCAGCAGGTAAGACGCTTCTGATGTGGCCTCTGGTTCAGGAGTGGCTGGACTTGAAGAATGTCTAGGATTCTTATGTGCACGACTTTCCAATATAGACCTTTATCACAATATAATAATTTCCTGAGACACTGAGTTTTGTGTTTTCATTGTTTAAAAGCCATTATCATCAAAGTTACAGGAAATAAAAGCTTAACGTATTTCACTCTATGCATAATGGATCTATGTAATACACATAATACACATAGTACACATACACATATGTGTACATAATACACTTTCTGAAGTGACTGATAAAAAAGTATTGAACTTTTTCACAACATTTTAATTTGTTCATATGTACTAATGTCTGCCAACCTCGGGAGAGAAAACAGAAAAATAAAAACTGGAACAATAGAAATAAAAAAAATTAATAAATAAAGAAGATAGAAGATAGAGCCAGAGGTAGAAAAAAATAAAACAGTGTAAAAGTAGTTATCAGCATCACGATCCTTCCAGAGGCTTGACTGCTCAAACAGATGCTGTAAAACTCAAATGGCTTTAGATGTAAACAAAGAGAAAAATCTAAAGGGACATAAAGA